GAACTATCAGTGATGCTGACTGGGGTATGTCAGAAGCTCAGGTTGTGTGTAAACAACTTGAACTACCTTTGGAAGGTAAGTCGAAATGTTAAAACCAAACTTATTTGTCAGTGTGAGTTCTCCAGGTTCAGTGCCATCCCCCTATGGTCAAGGCAGTGGTGTCATTAGGATAACCTCAGTCAACTGTTCTGGATCTGAAAATAATGTTACACAATGTTCCCTGTCTATGGGGTCCTCATCAAACCATCAGAATGACGTGGGAGTTAAGTGTGGAAAAGGTTACACTGATTCAATTACCAATGAACTAAAGTGCAAACCCTCGGTGCTAAACGCGCGAGTTGTAGCATCGCTGTATGCTGGGCCGTGCGTCATCGACTGAGCCAGTAACACGAGTCTCGCCGTAACACAGGGTAGCTATAGTTGCATTAGCGGTTAGAGCAATGGCTCAGGTGTTTCAGAGGCTCTCATATTTGCTTTATTCGCTCTTCTGTGTTTCAATGCTCTCGCCAGACGTTTTGTAGATGGGAAGACAAGGCCGCAGCCACAAACTGCTCGCTGACTGAACTATTATGCTACATTGCGAACATACTTTGCTCAGCAGGTTTATCCATTGAAAACAAAGAGAACAGAGATCAAAACTGACAGAAGCCCGTGGATCGTATAATATACAACCAACGTGGCGTAGCGCATGCTCCGGCGAATAATTGACATGACGCGTGCGTGATATATAGCCTGCCGGAGAGGGCGCGTGCGCGATCGATGGCACGTTGGCTTTTTCGCTTGTTTTCAAGCCATATCTCTGGAATGCAGTCATTTCAGGAAATTTGCCACATAATATCCATCTTCTCGTTGTTCACAACCCGTTGGTGCCACTCATTGGCCACCTCGTAGCCTGTAGTGCGAGAACTCACGGGGACAGACAGAATGAAAGAACGACTACTGTAACCCTCGCTGCGCAAGCGCCCCGAGGGTTAATTAATATTCCATGTGGCACGGCTGTAGCTAAAACAAAACCTCTTTTGTGTGTTTAGAGTTATCTTTTAAGACACAAACATTTCACATACAGTAATGTGTAGATGTGGCACAAGCTATGTTGAGTCAGCCCAGTTTATGTTGTTTAAAAACACAAATTTTATGCCAGCAGTCAGCCACTACAATGTCTGTTGCACTGGCCACTTTCCTTGAGAAATCCATGTTTAAGTCCTCCAGCAAATTACTGGTGTCTACATGTCATACAGTTATAGTTACACGCAATAAAGTGCAAACCCTCGGAGGAGACACGCGTGGTCACTAGAGAAGGGTTCAATGTCAAAGGAAGACCGCCTATATACACAGTCTTCTCTGAAAGGCTGCAGAACGAGGTAAGCATCTACTGAGTGAGGCACATCTTTCGCTGTGCATCTGCCATGTTTTAGCTCAACAATAAGCTTGGTAGGGGATTAGAATATCTTGCGCATGCACGAACAGATTGTGCCAGGCACGAAACGAGTGCGCGGAAGTACGCACATGTGTTGTACTGCTCATTGATGGCCTGGGCCATTTTACCTATACTCGTGGTCTCCTACCAAGCCGCTGAGAGTCTGTAAAGGGCTAGCTACACCGCTAGATAACATGCGAGATTCGATACATGCCCCGCATTGCAACCTCTGGTGCCTCAAAGTTATGCAGTGCAAGCACATCTCAGTGCTAGAGAGCATGCATAAGCCCGTGATAATTTGCAATTGGCTCGTTCACTTGGTTCTCACGCCATTACTCCCGAACGCAACAGTTTCAGAGAAAATCCTGTGACATATACCCGACGCAGAATACGTGGTATTGTTTGTGGAGCAATTCATAGCTCGTGAATGGAGTTAGGGTGTGGAGAGACAGACAGCCGGAGACATGACAACTATATACCGTGATTCTCGCTGCGCTGCACGCCGAGGGTTAATAATACATTTCACACACTAGACCAGTACTTCCAACCTTTTCACTCTTCTGTGTGGAGTCATGCATCACTGACAGACAAACTTCCGGACCAAGTATAGTAACCCTCGCTGCGCATGCGCGCCGAGTGTTAATAATGTATGTTGCAGTTCACTGGAGTTATGGATTGAAACCTGCCAAATTCTTTGTAGGTAGCGATTTAAAAATAATATCTTAGACAAAAATGCATGCATAATAATTTATTGGGAATCGGTTATTTGAATGCCTGTGTACATAGCTACAAGAATGGAACTGAAAGTCAAATAATAATACAGTTTTGCCAAATAAGTTAAGGGTATAGAGTGCTAAATATTTGTTCTGTAGGTGCCGACTACAAGCATGGAGATATTCGTCTAGTGGGAGGATCCTATAGCTGGGAGGGCAGAGTGGAGATATACCTGGAAGGAGAATGGGGAACTATCACTCAATATTACGCTGGGAAAGATGGTGCTCATGTAGTTTGCAGACAACTTGGTTATGATACACACTGTGAGTTGATCCGGGATTTTGTTGGTTAGAGCTTCATGCAGTTGTTTGACACATAGGTTAAGTGTATCAAGTTTGGACAATGTGAATGGGGAATATAAACACAAAGTATGTGTAGTTAGCTACAGGGTGGCCGCATCAATATGTGGGGGAAGCTGTAGTACCGTCAGATATGGGATCATAGCATACACTCTAGATCATGAATGAGCGCTGTTGCACAGCAAATGTGGCCACTCAGAACAAGGCTACTTCTCCCCAGCCCCAATAGTACTTCAGCTATTATACAATTTCATGATAGGCTGCACATAGATTGTAGTTCCCATGATAATTTCTGTGACATATGTAGATGGTTTTGACAAAGACTACTATCACGCTCATTTTGGAGAAGGTGTTGGAACAATACATCTTAACTTCTTGGAATGCTCTGGCACTGAATACCGACTGGTTGACTGTTATAGTGTCTCTAGTTTATGGTATCACACTCAAGATTGGAGTGTTGGATGTCTCAATGGTACATAGTAATTATCCTGTGTACATTATGCCATTGCTAGAGTTTGCCTACAACAGCTTAAGTAAAATTTCCGTTTCTGATTTTCCCCAAAATCATATAAAAAATCTGCACTCTTCATCTAAATATTCTAAGAAAACAAGGTAGCTACATTTCAGCAAATGCAGAATTTAGCAAAGTTTCATAGTCAACTTTGGAAGTCAGGGTTCACAAATTTGTGACTGCGTAATACTATCCATACTACATGGGTGACAAATTTGTGAACCCTGAAATTTTAGGGCGACAAATTTGTGAACCACGTGTTGGTGTTGTTGTAAAAAGTGCCCATCAATTGAAAGGTTGACAAATTTTGTCATCCAATTTCTCTCGAATTTTCTACATAAATCTGCTAATTTTTTCTCTGAATCGATTGCGAAGTGACATGAAAGTGCTGAGTGTTTCATGAAAATCAAACTAAATCTGAAAATTGGAACGGAACTTTTTACTTGAGACACTGTTCTAATTGCTTTGTGTCACGTATTGCAGTCTTTGAACCCCTCTGGTAGCTCAGTGTGTGAAGTTCAAGCTTTTTACTTTCTAAGAAGTGTTCTGTGTCAGTTTGTCCCTAGTTTTTCATACCCACACAGCTACAGGTCCATACTTACTACAATGACATGAAACTGTGTCTTGTAGATGTCCCTGAAGAAGGAGAAGTAAAGCTCTTCTACAGCAGTTATAATAACTACTTCTCCTCGGGTCTGCTTCAGGTATGGCTGAATGGGAGATGGGGAGTGGTGTCTGATACGGTGTGGACAATTGAAAATACAAATGCTGTGTGTCGCCAGCTTGGAAGGAATGGTAAAGACTGCTTAAACATGAACTACAGTGTCAAATGTAATTATCTATTGTGCCTATTTTTCTCAAAAAAGTGACACTGATTACAAAACCTCTCTATAAATAAATTGCAGGTATAACATCAACTGATTCTGATTACAGTACCGACTTACCTGTTGTCATGAGTAACGTCATGTGTGTGGGGACTGAGTCAAGACTGATAGACTGTCCCTACGCCACTGGAGGTAGTGGATCTCCTGTGAGCCTCAGGTGTACTTGTAAGTCCAGCAACCAATTGACTGAGTATTACATCCCACCAATGTTGGAGGTACTAAGCGTAAGTGACATGTTATACCCAAATAAATATCCATATAGCCAAAATAAATACCCAACGTTTGTAGCTACACTCTGGAATTCTGACCCATACATGCTCTTGCGTTGCTTACTTGTGTTTTGACACCATCTAAAAACGAATATTCACTGTTCAGTGAACTCAAAGCTTTGGGCCCCAAATGGATTTATTAAAACCAGATGTTAGAGCCAGGGTCTAGTGAGTGAAATCTGATTGATCTTCGATCTAGGTAGCGGCGAATGACTACGGAAACCTAGCTTCCTCTGGCTACAGCTCCAGCACACTAGCTGTGCGAAAAGCACGCAGCGACCCCGCCTACTTTTGCGTGACGGTTAGCCGCAGAGCCACTCTGTTAGCTTGCCTATACAGTTAGGGGTACTGCGTCTCGAGCTAGCTACACATGCAGAGCTGATTAGCGTCGTCTTGAATTTTCTGTGTTGTGAGCCACGTTTCTGCGCATGAAATGTGCCTCGGGGATGAATATGTAGAAGTGCCTAGATGAGGCACATTTCATCATCACATCAGAGGAATATTATTTCACTTGGAATTCCTCTGACTGATCAGAGGACTTCTACATTCTCATCCCTGAGGCACATTTCATGCGCAGAAATGTGGCTCACAACACAGAAAATTCAAGAAGACGCTATTCAGCTCTGCATGTGTAGCTAGCTCGAGACGCAGCACCCTTAACTGTAGGCAAGCTAACAGAGTGGCTCTGCGGCTAACCTTCACGTAAAAGTAGGCGGGGTCGCTGCGTTTTTTTCGCACAGCTAGTGTGCTGGAGCTGTAGCCAGAGCAAGCTAGGTCTCCGTAGCCATTCGCCGCTACCTAGATCGAAGACCGCGAGTACCTGGATTTTCGTTAGTCCAGAAGCTCCGTTTTCCGTCCCCACGCTTAGAATTGAAGGCGTGGTTGCCATGGCTCTAAATCAGTTAGACGCCAATTCTCGAAAACCACGCGATTTAGAAAGCCTCGGGCCCTCTATAGTAGCGTCCGCTCTCACGCTCGGGCAGCTACAGCCAGATGGCCCGGGGCTTTCTAGCTTCCTCGAATCGGCGCCAAACTTATTATTTAGACGTCGGCAAACGTTCCCGTACTTTCCAAGTGCATGTGTTTCCACGGAGACCGCCCCCCCGCAAAAAATGTCGTCTTGGCAAGTTTCCGCTGAGACCCCCGCCAAAAATGACATCTCGATGGGGGTGTGGTAAGCTTCCGCGCAGAGAAACTCTGTCGTCGATTGCTCGCTGCGACGACTTCAAGCTCGCTGTATCCGATGCTTCTTCGATGAAAGGCGTCTCTATATACGATGCAAAAAGAAACTAAAATGAAGACCTTTTTAGCTTCCCCTGGCGAGAGAGTCTCGCAGAAGACGACGGACTCAGACGATTTGACGACCAGCACGGCCTCCGTCTAAATAGGTTATACTGCTTGTCGATGGAAATACACGATTTAGTAGCATCTTAGCTGCGCTCAGACAGCTGCAGCCAGAGCCCCTCAGGCTGTCTAAATCCATTGACGCGCAGTATAACCTATAATTATTAGAGCGTCGGTAGACGCTCTATATAGGGATGGCGCGGGTCAAATCTCATGTGATCCGCATACAAAACGCCTCAAAACTCGGCGACAATGACTCGCTAGGCTTAAAAAATCACTAGCAATAATCTAGACGCCACCTAGCTATATATATGCCCCAAGACTTCCTACGTGCCTTCAGTTACCCACAAGAGAATTCACACTTACGCGATTTCGCGAGTTTCGCGTCATCATAATCTTCATCATCCATTCATCCATGTGCCACAACCTAATTGCGTCCTTGTTGGAGACACTACGCATACACCCTGCTTCAGGTAGGAGCAGCCCATTAGCTTCTTCTTTCGACAGTTATCTCTACAACATACCAATAAACATCAGAGTGACTAATAAAGCAGTGTTGTCATAAGCCGTTAAAAATAGTGGAAACAAGTAGAAAAATATTTCTTCAAAATGAAGGGGGATATAGGGATGGCTTGACGCACAGGAAGAAACAAGGGGTCATTACACAGCAAAGATGCACAAGCTACATGACACCATCCCTATATCTTTGTGTTAATGTTCATAAGCAAGTTTAATATGAGACAAAGATATAGGCATGATGTCATGTAGCTTTGTGCATCTTTGCTGTGTAATGACCCCTTGTTTCTTCCTTTTTGGTGCTTCAAGCCATCCCTATATCCCCTTGAAATGATTTTTCCACTTGTTTATAATACACTCCAGTTACTCTCAGATATACCCCAATATGCACAAATTGCTATTATATTGAATATAGTTTTAGCCCCTTGTGCCCATGGAGATGTGAGACTCACAGGCGGTCAGTCAGAGAATGAAGGGAGACTAGAAATCTGCAACTCTCTCTCTGTTTGGGGCACCGTATGCAACAAACACTGGACTCAGGCCGTCTCAAAGGTCGCCTGTCACTCCTTTGGATATGGCTACGAAGAAGGTGCACACATTACGGAGATCAAAATACATAAGTGTACCATGTATATCTCTGTAACGGGACACTTCAAATCTATAAATAATTGTGTTCCACACTATCCTCTTTACAGGGTCATATCACACATACTCCACGTTCAATCGGATACCAGCCACCTTACCAATTGCTGCAGACTATGTGAGATGTTCAGGGTCAGAGAACTCACTGAAGGAGTGCACTTACTTCAGCCACAGCTTTTCTGAGTGTAGCCACAATGACGATATTGGAATCATCTGTCCACCAGGCAATACTCACCATACATATTAAATCACCGAGGGCTACAATAATAACCTTTTAATATTTGTAGCAAACTGTGAAGATAGAGACGTCAGGTTACGAGGCACAGCAGGGTCTGAGAAAGGAGGACTTGTTTTAGTTTGCATCAACAAAAGGTGGGGTCCTATTTGCCAGAACAATAATGAGGCAATTACAAAGACTCTGTGCCGTCAACTTGGATATACTAATAGAGATGGTAAGAAATTGTTTATGTTAGCATAATAATGGGAGTAATTCTCAAACATAACTTTCCGATATACATCTGACTTTGCTGTATTGCTACTAGGAAACTCATAACCAAACCATAGCTAGGTGTTTGCTGTTTTTTACTTCCAGGGGAATACTATTGGAAAGGGGAAAGAGGAATGCCAGTTCAAAACCTAACACTGCATTGCCGTGGCGATGAATCTCGTTTATTTGACTGCACCTATAGTCGCAGTGCTCCAAGTCATTGCACTTATTATGAGCTCACCTATATTTCATGTGAACCAGGTATCACTGTTTCAATTTGAAGCCAAAACATTCCAACGTTTTGTATAATAATTTCGTGTTGACTTCTTTTCTTAGCAAGCTGTACAGATGGGCAAGTGAGACTGGTGGATGGAGCAACAGATGTGGAGGGGAGGGTTGAGATTTGCTTCAATAGGAGATGGGGGACAATCAGTGGTGATGGGTGGACTCTGATAGAGTCTACTGTCGTCTGTAATGACCTCGGATATGAGGCAACTGGTAGGAAGAAATGTTTATGGGCAATAATGTGTTGCTTTGCAGTAATTCAGTTTCTGTATCACTAAATACGGTAGTACTTAGTATATAGGGATTGGCATGGGGCTATGATAGGGAGTACTGTTCATCTTCTTCTCCTCCTTCTTCTTCAGATTGAACTCGCGTAACTCAAAAACGAAATAACATATAGTAATGAAATTTTGTAAGAATGTAGATCTCCACCACCAAAAGAGACTGGTCATACTTATTTCTTTGTAAACAACATTGTTTACTGCAAACAACAACAAATAGCCCTAGGCAATACATTATAATGGTATCAAATGTGTCAGTATAACTCACAAATGGTAAGAGTTATGTGAACGAAACTTTGTAGACATAATGTATTCAATCACCAACATCAAAATTACAACAATACATGTTTGTAAACAACAACAAATAGACTCAGGCACTTTTCTTCATATTTACTTTTTCACTCCTCAAACTTTCCAATAGTAGCGCACATAGAGATGAAACTTGGTATGTACGCCTTATATATCATTTCTGTGACGATTACATGTTTCCATGACGACCGCATACTGGGTCGAAAAGCCTCATTTAATATTAGTTCTTCACTCCTCAAACTTGCTAATGGTACCAGGCATGGAGATGAAACTTGGTAGCTACGCATGTGTGTAACATCGTTTCCATGACGAACACAACAACAAATAGCCTCAGGCACTTTTCTTTAAAATTACTTCTCCACTCCTCAAACTTGCTATAGGTACCACGCATGTAGATGAAACTTGGTACACATGTGTGTGACATCGTTTCCATCACGATTACAACAACAAATAGCCTCAGGCACTTTTCTTTAAAATTACTTCTTCGCTCCTCAAACTTGCTAACGGCATCCCACATGGAAATGAAACATGGTATGCACATCATTTCCGTGACAACAAGGCATTTTTTCTCTATTAAAATTTTTATATATAGGGGCTTGCCACTTCCACAGAGATAAAATGAGTGGAGACAAGTAAATTACAATCCTGCGAATTTAAAAAATGAGGCATATAAGGATGGTATAAAAAGAAAAGGAGACAAGATAGGGATGGTATATATGAAGCATGGTTAATTGCTTTTAGTATATAACCTTTAGCCCCTATAAGAGTAGAACACCAGGCAACAATATATTGGGATTGTGTGATGGGGTTGGGGGTGTCAGCGTGCTCAAATCTGTTCATTAACCATGCTTCATATATCCAATCCCTATCTTGTCTCCCTTTCCTTTTATACCATCCCTATATGCCTCATTTTTTATAATATATAGGCAATGACTATTCAGTGAGGCCAGCCACAAACTCAATGCCAGTGTTCATAAAGACTGTCAGATGTTCTGGTAGACAGCTGAGCCTCTTGGAATGTGGCTTCAGAATAAATCTTACACACAGTGTTCACTTGGAAGACGTTGGAGTCAAATGCAAAAAGTGTAAGATAGCAAAATGAATGTTCATGTTATTCTAACAATATTGTGGGTTGCATCTTTATTATTGCCGAGCGCGTTAGCGTGAGGCAACTGCTCCGGGTTGTATTCTCGCGATATGCGTACGTACGTACGTACGTGTCGGTCACGCTTAAGAATGTCAATTAGTCACGCTTGGGGAATGTCAATTAGTCACGCTCGGGGAATGTCAATTAGTCACGCTTGGGGATGTCAATTGGTCACGCTTAGGAATGTCAACTTCCGTCAAGTCTAGCTTCCGCCGTGCGCGCGCGCAGATTCGTAGCGCAGTCAGTAGGGTTTTTTCTGGATTCTGGCTACGC